TCGCTGAATGCAGTTGGGGAGCGTGGCCTCTGTTGGAACTGTGGCAAATCGGGCCATATGAGTTGGCAGTGCCCAGACAAGAACCCTGGAAAAGGGAAGAAGAGGGATGAACCGAAAGGTGGAAAGCCTTCTGGTTCCAAGAATCGAGAGAAGAGCCCTAAAGGGAAGGGCAAAGGCAAAGGGAAGACAGACAAAGGAAAGGGTGGAAAGCCCAAGGGGAAGCCAAAGAACAAAGGAAAGCCCAAGGGCCGAGCTGTGGAAGACGAGCAGTCTGACCAGGTGATGGCAATGCGGTCTCATCATCTGAGTGGCTTGGGTCCGGGGACAAGAACTAATGAGCCCAATGAAGCTGAGCCCCCTCGTCTCACCATGACGAACGGAGAGATCGAGAGACTGAACCAGTCATCCTCTAGGAATAGCTCTTTCGCATGGCTCATTGATAGTGGAGCCACCTGCCACGTGTTGTCAGAGAGTGCGTTGGGTTTTTACGAAGTCGTCAAGGAGCATTCGGGACCTCTTCCTGTGCTCATGAGTGCTAGCGACACGCCCATGGAATGTGTCAAGTTGGTTGACATTCGGGTGAAGTTTGGGAAGTTGGGGCCCGTAGTGCTTCAACAGGTCTTGGTTTGCAAGATTGGTTTCAACGTAGTCAGTTCTTGGCAAGCGTCCCTCTCGGGATGGAATACCTGGCTCACCTCAGAGCCTGGAGCAAGCTGCTTGGTGAAGCAGACGGAACGAGGTTCCTCGATGTGGGTGCCTTTGGTTCGTGAAGCCAGGAGCTGGTGGGCGTTGGCTAAGGAGATTGGCCCTACCAAGGCAAAGCCGAAAGGAAGAAGAAGCAAAGGGGACTCACCCAAGCCGGGGTGGAGCCCGAATGACGACGCGATGGAAGTGGATAAGGTGCAGAAGAAGGCACCGCCCAACGTAGGAAGAGCGTTGGAGGTGACACCTTTTAAGTTTTTGCTGCGAGCATTTTCAGTGAAGCAACATGTGGGGGAACACGAGCTGCATGAGCATGTTTTACAGGAGCGTTTGAGTGGATGTGAGCATGCTGCAGTTGCGAAAGTAGGAGTAGACCTGGAAACCCCGCCCTATGCCTGTTGTGCTGAAGCTTTATGTTCCGCCGCCAAGTTCGCGAGTGGCTTCGAAGCTTGCCGAACTACCAGGTGCTTCGTTTGCACGAGCTGGTCATGGAACAGATGCCTCGTCCTGCTGCACCAGCTCCAAAAGGACCATGCTCGCACTGCCAATCGAGGCTGTGTACTCGGAGGACTGCATGCGAAGATCATGTCGGCAGATGCTCCTGCCACGTGTGCTACAAGGACTGGAAGCACAGCCGTCCCAAAGGTGGCAAGGGTGGGCATGGAGCCTCAGGCTCAAGTTTCCCACTTCCTGCTGCAGGCCATTAAGAGCCTGCACGTTTCGCGAGTGGCTTCGAAGCTTAAAAGAAGAACACACACCCTCTGATTTGCCGATGAAATACTTTTAGGTAGATACGAAATTTCAGATGTGTTTTCCGTTTGCTTAACATGTTTTCATTTAAGAGGTTCTGTGGCAGATCTGCTTGCTGGAGTGACTCATGCATGAGAGTGTGCAGTGCATGCAGAGTAGGAGGAGATGCTGTGAGGTGCAGTGCAGGTGAGACTTGTTGTTTGAGCTTCGTTGCCTGCCAGCCAGCTTCTCGGCCCAAGCTAAAGCCTTCAGTGCAGCCCCAGACCTCTGTCTGCCACAAGCAGGGATGTCTTGGCATCATCAGTCAGGTTCTGGTTCTGGTGTCGCTTGGCTGCATTAGTTTTGGCTGCATTTTGTGTGCTCAGATTGTTGCCCAGGGTTCTCTGCAGTCCTGTCGCTGAGGGGTGGGGCTCCAGCTGGAAGGATCGTGGCCACGACAAGAAGGGTGAAGGCTCCCAGTGGTGGAAGAAGGACGACGACCCGTGGGACGAGGACCCCAATGACATGTCCGGCATCGATGTGAGAAAGTGCAAGAAATGCAAGCACAACTGGTCCTATGTGCGGGAGGGTGGCTGCCTAAACACAAAGTGCAACATGTCAGCATCCAGATTTTTCAGGAGGCTCTCCTTCACTCTAGGAGGGTCTCCTTCAAGTTGAGCCTTGCAGTTTTTAGGAGGTTCTCCTGTATAGGAGGGTCTCCTGTATAGGAGGGTCTCCTCGCTAAGGTGAGCTCTACATCTACTCGGCCAACCGAGAGAACCTCTGGGATCCCTACAGCAAGGGCAGTGGAGGCCGGTGGGACCTGAAGGAGTTTGCCAACTACATTGAGCCCACCTTGGCGAAGAAGAAGAAGAAGAACAGGGGCAAGCAGCGAAAGGTGTGGTGGGCCAAGGTCAAGGGGTGGAAGGATGCCGGTGAGCCGGAGTTTCAGCCACCGAGTGATGAAGAGGAAGAAGATCCAGGCCAAGAGGGCCAAGAGCAAGCCGAAGCGGTGCCTTTCCGGCAGAAAGACTTTCAGAGTTTCCTGTGTTGCTTGTGTTTTCTTTGTTCCCGCGAAGCCAAGGCCCAGCAGCACCCGAAGCCCAAGGCCAGGCCCCTGGTTATCCCGAAGAACCCTCCACCGGCTACTGGGCTGCACTGTGTGGCTACACTGTTGTGTCTGCATAGAGACATGCATGTGCTTTGTGTGCTCTCTCACACGAGGCACCTCCAGAGAAGAGGGGCAGGAGCTGCGAAGCAGCAGAGAAGAGGAGGGACGGGTCGCCAGCCTCCATGCGGAGCTATCAGAGCTGGACCAAAGTGGACGGCGAGCCGGACGAGGATACATGCAGAATTGTGTTGCTTGTGTGCTGCCAAACAAGCAAGCCACTCCCCGGCAGGGCTTGGGGACAGCCAGCCGGTTGCCGTGGATGATGAGGGTCCGGAGGCAATTTGTTTTTGTGAAGGGTATGATTTTGTTTCGGGTTTGTTATCCATGCAGCCTCTTGGTCAGGCCAGTGGTCCACCAGGTCCCGAGGAGGCAGCAGGCCCAGCTGTGCTACTTATGCTTTTAAATTCAGTTGCAGGAGGGCTTCTCCTATTGAGGAGGAGCACTCCTTTTTTTTTTGGTTTTGGCAGGCCGTGGTGACCAAGCCGATGCCCATGATCCCAGGACTACAGTGGAAGCCATGCTCTGCAGTGCATTGCATAAACTTAGGGTTTAGGGTTTAGGGTTTAGGGTTGAGGGTTTAGGGGTTAGGGTTTAGGGTTTAGGGGTTAGGGTTTAGGGTTTAGGGTTTAGGGTTTAGGGTTTAGGGTTTAAGGTTTGTCCGTGTCTTGTTTTTGGAGGAAGCAGAAGACAGATTGAGCCTCGTCGGTGCACCAGCTGAGAGCTGCTTGTCATGCAAGCCAAGCAAGTACAAAGATTGTGTCAAGACTTCTGCAGCTTGTGTCAGTTCGTGACAGTTCACGTGTGATCCAGGCTTAGCAGCATCATCTTCCGGAGCTTCGCTCAGGCAGCATGCAGATCCGAGGTGGAGCGCGCAAAAAGAATAGTGTGTCTGGAGTTCGTTCGAGTGCCACTGGCGAGGGAACCTGTTCAAAAAACGTTAAAATTTTTAACGTTTTTTTAACAATTTTTAACATGGATTTAGAAGGCAAACTAAAGGAAAAGGCTGTTAAAAATTATGTCAAAACAAGTTAAAAATTTTAACGTTTTTTGAACGGGTTTCGGCGACAGTGGCACTCTTCAGGCTTTCGAGTATGGGCCTTGTGGTTTAGGGTTTAGTCTTTAGGGTAGACCCTAGGGTCTAGGGTTTAGGGTTTAGGGTTAAGGCTTGAGGCCTCAGGGTTTGGGGTCTCGGGTTCCTGTTGCCGGGTTTAGGCCTTAGGGGTTAGGGTTTAGGGTTCGGGGTTAAGGGTTTAGGCCTTCAGGGTTTGGGGTTTTATGCTTAGGCTTTAGGGTCCAGGGATTGGGTTGAAGGGTTTGGGCTCAGGGTTTCGGGTTTAGGGGTTAGTGCTTAGGGTCTAGATTCGGGTTTAGGGTCAGGGTTTAGGGTTCAGAGTTTAGGGCTTAGGATTTAGGGTTCAGGGTTTGGAGTTTAGGGTGTCGGGTTTAAGGTTTAAGGTTTAGGTTTTTTTAGGGTTAGGGGTTTAAGATTTAGGGTTTAGGGTTTAAGGTTTAAGGTTTAGGGGTCTGGCGTTTAAGCTTTAAGGTTTAAGGTTTAGGGTCTGGGGTTCAAGGTTCAGGGTTTGGGTTGAAGGGTTTGGGCTCAGGGTTTCGGGTTTAGGGGTTAGTGCTTAGGGTCTAGGGTTTCGGGTTTAGGGTCAGGGTTTATAGGGTTCAGAGTTTAGGGCTTAGGATTTAGGGTTCAGGGTTTGGAGTTTAGGGTGTCGGGTTTAAGGTTTAAGGTTTAGGGTTTAGGGTTAGGGGTTTCAGATTTAGGGTTTAGGGTTTAAGGTTTAAGGTTTAGGGGTCTGGTGTTTAAGCTCTAAGGTTTAAGCTTTAGGGTCTGGGGTTTAAGGTTCAGGACCCTAGGACCCTAAACCCGACACCCTACACAACCCCCCCCCCCGGTGTGTTTATGTATGCATATATATATATATATATCATATGTGTATACTTAAATACATGTATATATATATATATATATATTGATGTATATATATATATATACATATCTATATATTTGCAGATAGCATATATATATATATATCGATAAATAACCCAAAATAGACATACACAGAAATATACATGTGTATGCATACATATCTCTATATCTGTATATATGTATATATATATATATATGTACGTGTACAACTGTATAGATATGTACGTGGAAACATGTATACAAACTTTCTCTCTCTGTGTCTGGTGCTCTTTCTCTATCTTCCTTTTTTTGTCCTCAGTACGGGATGCAGCATCAGGTGTAGGAGTGGCCTCCTGCGACACAAGGAGGCCACTCCTTCAAAGCCCAGACATACTCTGGCCGACAATCCCATCAGTGCCCAGAGTGCTCAAAGGTACCGGTTCCCTCGTGCTCCACTTTGGAAGAACTCGCTTGCTTGCAATGGCTAAGCCGGCTAAGCCTGCGACCTCCTCGGGCAAGTTTGCTGCAAAAGCAGTGAAGAGGGAGCCCAAGGCCGCTGCCAAGGGGACGGCCAAGGCGCCCACACCCAAGTCGCAAGCAGTGAAGACCGAGCCAACAGAAGCAGTGGGCAAGATCGGCATGGAGAGAGGCCAGCTGTCGGGACTGCTGGCCTCGCTGTCCTACCAGTGCAAGGCCAAGAAAGCCACCCCCGAGCACAGAGCAGCAGCAGCGAAGATCCTCAGCGACTACAAGGCAGCAGACGTGAGTGGCAAGAGCAAGATCTTGGAGAAGCTTGTGCAGAGTGGCATGCACTGCTTGGACTGGGCCAACGAGCTGACGAAGAACACGGAGGTTCAACACGAGGAAGCGAATGAGTTTGTGAAAGGCTTCATGACCCGGTGGCTTGGCTGCAGTAATATTTCTTTTTGTTGGGTGTGGGTTGGCGCCTTCACAGATTTGGTCGCAGAGGTCCAAAATCCTGGAGCTCAATGGCCTGAACGAAAGCAACCTTTCAGAGCAGGTGGCAGCCGACACCTTGCAGGACCTCCTGAGAGAGTCCGAGGAAAGGTTCAAGCACACCAGGCAAGAGCAGCCGCACAAGAACAAACTCCTGCATCGCTACTTCTACAAGATGCAGAAGGAGAGCACAGAGAGAGACTCTGCCACCGACACGACTCGGCACAGTCAGACGGGAACCATGGATGGTGAATTGGGCTCGTTGATGGATGCCTTCGGCAGTGGTGCCACTTCCAGCATTGAGGTGGACATGAAGGGTGCCTTCAACAAGAACGTCCTGCTGCTTAAGCAGTACAAGCCGAAGCTCAACAAGCTGCACCAGGAAGGCCTCGATATCTCCAGTATTCTGCTCAGTCTGTCCCCGGAGATGTACTCCCAGATCTGCCAGGACATCGACAAGAAGATGCAGACCCTGGAGGAATTCAGCACAAAGCTGAGACAAAGCACGGCTACCATGAACCGTGTGGATCCGGCGGACAGCAGTGTGGACCTCGAGAAGCTGGTGAAGACCACAGGTGACTTGATCACCGAGTGCGAACAGCACCAGAACGTGGTCGCAGGCTTTCTGAAGCAGTGGAAATTGGTCGCCGGCATCTAGTTTTTTCTAGCATCGGCCAGAGGCGACATTTTGCAACGTTCCCCTGCAGGGAATGGTCGTCCAACAACCAGCAAGAGGCTCAAGCACCGTAGGCAGTCAAGAGCCTAGCACCTACTTTGAAGCAATGAATGAAGCCGGAGCGCAACCACATGAAAAAGCCACGCGAGTGCAAATGATTTCCTCATCAGTTTCAGTGGAATATCACCCGGACGATCAAATCTTCTTGGTACATCGTCTCCCTGATGGTTCAGAGAAACGGGAACTCACCACGTCCATGATTGTTGATGCGATGTTCGAGGTTAAGAAACGCGCTGCAGTGTCCAACTTATCTGACATTAGTCAAATTACAGGCACAGCGCCCGCAGGACCCATCAAAGAGGAGGAGGTTGATTATTCCAGTCTGGAATGGGGTGACATGGATCCAAACTATCGGCGGGAACTCGAGAAACGTCCTGAAGTTAAGGCAGCTCTTCAACGATTCAAGCGGCAATCAAAGGCTGCACGGCTCACGCCGTCAGGAGAGTTTATGGAGTTTCATACAGCCGAAATTCCCGCGCCCGACAACCCGCCTACTCTGGCTGAGGATTTCAAGCAGAGGGAAATGACCGGGGACACATTGGACTCTGCAATCAAATTTTATCATGAGCGTCATGTGCAGCCCAGTTTCAACATGTTAGCGGATGCCGTGACGGCTATGTCCAATCGGAAGGCGCCATGCGTGCTACAAGCTTTGAATTTACACCAGATGCAGTTGAGTAACCTTGAGGGCGAAATCTGCCAACGCACGGTTCTCTTGCATAACATCCCTCCGTTCGCGAATTATTCTTCCATACAGGGAAACCTGCAGTTCCTGCGCGGGGTGGCTGGTCTGGATTTTCACCATGCAGTCCAATCTTGCTCAACCCACATTCTCTCCCCGAATGCCGCGATCCTGAGGGTTGTCTTTTTGCAAATGCAGGGAAGCCGCGAGTTTGTCATTGCTTTTCGGAAAGGCGCAAGGTACTGGCGAGACTACCAGGACCGGGGCAATGATCGAAAGATACGAGTTGAGAAAGATGTTCCTTTCTCAACTCGTTTGGAGAGGCAGCCGTATTATGCCTTGCTGGACATGCTTTCGGACATTTCTCCACCTCCTTATGGCTCCACCTCCTTCCGTACAGATTTGTCCTCCCTGCAGATAAAAACCCCGGAGGAGTGTGACGAGGATATGGTCTTGGCGCAGGTTGTTTACCTTCCTTTCCGAGGGGAGTTTCGATGCATTCTGCTTGTCCAGCCCGATCTTGTGACCTCGCTACAGTCATCCTTTGGACGTCATTTCAATGAGCGCATGATGAGTACACTCATACTCCTGCAGGCAATTACTCACGCCAGCACACACACAACCACACTGGCTCGATTCCATCACACATCATCATTCGACTACTCCAATGTCGGCCCAGAGGAGGCCTTCCACATGTTCCCGTATTCTATCGAGCACAATGTTCTGGACCCCGCGCTGGCAGATAAGTTGAGGACAGACCCCGGATTTATTCACAAGGGGTATGGAGGGCTGGGTCAGGTCGTCAATTCCGCGCAGTTTGCTCGCGGCACCAACCCTGCAGACTACGGGCCGGGTGTGGGATCTCATGGTGGAGACAAGCGCAAGGGTTACGCGAAGGGTAAAGGGAAGAGCGGCAAAGGAAGAGGCAGCTCCACTTTTCATGATCCGCAGATGCGAGACAGGGATGTGGACATGGAATTCCAGGGCTCTCGAGATAACCGCAGACGAGCCAGCAATCATCGGGAGGAGTATGATGAGGACTTTGGCTCAGACGAGCGGTTTTACCGACATCAAGATCGGAGAGGTTTCCGAGATGTTCGTGATGCTCGCAGAGATGTTCGTGATGATCGCCGCGACGTTCGGGATCGCAGCCCCTCCCAGCACAGGCAGCCCAGACGTTATCAATACCAGCGTGATTGGTGACTATATCTTTCGCTCAGTCTATGTATGCTCCTTTACAGCTTACCCGCACCTATGATGCAGATACGGTTAGATGCACCAGATACGGCTATGAGCATGCGGCTTCAGTCTAATGCGCTTGCACCTATGATGCAGATACGGTTAGGCGCGCCAAATACGGTTATTAGAGAACGGCTTCAGTCTTATGCACATACGGTTACGACAGTGAGGCTACTTGCCCTGGAGGGGCGGAGTGGCCAGCGCATTCGCATGCCCATCCTTTTTTCTGGCGCGGCGTGTAAATGGCACGCCGCGGCCACGCGGATCTCAGCAGCAACACGCTCCGTTTGTTTGAATGATTACTGCTCTCGAAAGAAGCGAAACAGGATAATGCATTCTCTCCGCGGCAATTGGTACACAATCCGTGACTGGCAGAAGCCGCACTACAAATCGCGAATGTGGCAGACTTGTACTAATCTTTACAACGGAATGAAGGTGTTTAAGTTTGTTGAGTATTCTGACTGTTTTGAGGCTTTCGTCTATAGACGAGGTATATACTATGTCTTTTGTTCCGATTCGTATTCTTCTCCAAAGATGTATTACAGCCTACGGAAAGCGGTTACCTCCAGTCGGGGTGAGCCGGGATGCCGCCGTCGTCATGCTGATCCACTCCTCCATTCAGTTATCTCATCTCTTCGAGTTACGACGAGCGGCAGCGAAAACCGCAATGCTTTCGGGGGACATAGTCATAGGGGTTTCCGCAGTGCGGAAGCAGTAGACAGAAGGCTACTGAAATACAGAAGCTCTCGAGCAGAGGCTAGAAGGTCATACCGTGCACATTCCAAGGGCTGGGGTAATGGTAAGGCTGACCACCCCTTTTTGATGCCCCCCCCGCCACAGCCGCGTGCAGCAGTTTACGAACGAACTCGAAAACAGATCAAGCCTCATCAGCATCAAGCCAACAATGCGTCGCTTTGTCGACTCGTGTTGTCGTCGGCAGTCGCGCCTTGTAAGCTCTTTGCTCGGTCACTCCGCCTGGCGTCGTGGAACGTTGAGGGGCTTCGCGAGATTGCAAAATATGACCAAATCTTTTCCTTCATGCAGAAGCAATCGGTTCACTTGCTTGCAATGCAGGAAACACACGCATCTAACCCCCAGGAGTTCTCTAAGTCAGGGTTTCTGGTCCTCCACAGTGCTGCCCCAACTTCGCCCAACCATGGTGTTGGGTTCATTGTTTCCCCTGAGCTCCGTCCGTACGTTAAGTCCTTCTTACCCATTAGCCCTCGGTTGTGCTCAGTCGAGATCAATACCTCTCCTAAACCACTTCTCGTTTACTGTGCTTATGCTCCTAGTTTAGTTCAGGATGCCGCAGAGGATGTACGCCGGAAGCGGGAATTCTGGGACATGTTCACTGAGCAATTGGTAGATGTCAGCTCGCCAGAAAACCTGTTGGTTATGGGAGACTTCAATTCTAGATTGGACCCTCAGCTCGACTCTACTGGAGTCCACATAGAGCCTACTGTGTGGGGTAAGAGGCTTTCCATTGACACTTCAGAACGAGATAATGCAATTCACTTGCTGGAAGTGTTACAGAGTTTTGATTTGAAACTCCCTCAAACGTTTATGCAAAATCGTCCTGCGCGTAGGGTTACGTACAAAGAAACCACATGCTCGGACCATTTTTTGGAGCGCCCGAATGTCTCAGAGTGGACCACATTGGACTATGTTATCACGGCCTTGGCGCCGGCTTTTGCCGTTGAAGACATCTCAAGTCACTTTCAACAAGCTGTGAATTCTCGGCACTTGCCCATAATTTGCTCCATTGGGGTCGCTCTCCCGGCGCGTCGACCCCCGCCCAGTACCCCACCGTTGCCGGACTACACTCAAACCTCCCAGTATTATGACAAGTTGGAGTCTTCTCTTCTAAGTTTATGTAACCATTCTTTCGATCCGGTAGCTTCGGTGGAAGGGCATGTGTTGGCTTACACAGATGGCTCTTGCCCCAATAACAGGGTGATCTCCCAGACGAACCCAGCGGGTTGGGGGTTTGTGGTCTCCCCCATTCTACTCGCTTTTGCATTGCATCCCAAACCAACTTCGGATTGGATTACTTCCCATGGCAAAGTGAGAACGAACCCGGATTTCCCGGAGTTCGCTGGGGCGGAGGTATCTTCCAACAATACTGCTGAGCTTCAGGCGCTTATTGAGCTTTTCGATTACTTGTTGTACTTTTCGGGCTTTCCGGAGGGACAAAGGATACATGTTTACACGGACTCTCAGTACGTTCTTGATATTTTACGTGCGCGCTCCCTGCCTGCTACGCACTACAGACTTATTTCCAGGCTCCAAAGGTATTGGGTCGCTATGCGCATTACGTTCAACGTTCATGTGGACAAGGTCCCCTCACACGTGGGCATACCCGGGAATGAGTATGCAGACCGAGTGGCCTACTCGGGAAATTTTTCGCTAGGACGTACAGGCCGTTTTTCGCAACCTCATTCCAGAAGTCTCAGGCCCCCAGAGTTCAATCTGGATCTGACGAACTGGGATTCATTATCGGTACAAGAGCAGAACGTTTTCTTGCGTCAGGCAATTTCCGAAGCTAAGGAGCTTATTCCGGCCCTCCCTTTGACTCCGCACAAACCATGGATTTCCAAAACAACTTTGGGACTCATCGCCGAATTGCGCGATGCTGGGGGACTCGCGCCGGAGGATGTTAAGGCCTTCAGAAAACGTATCAAGGCTTCTGCCAGGAAGGATAAAAAGACTTTTGTTCATACCCGGCTCTCCATAGACTATGAGAGCACGCCCACTCAATGGACAACTCTCCGCAACCTCCGGCGTGGATTCACGCCGAAACCTCCAGGCATCCGGGACACGAGTGGCAAACTCCGGCCTACCAAACAACGAGCGGAAGTTTTTCGAGAATATCTCGCAAATCATGTTTGGAAGTGTGGGGAAGAGGTTTTCCAACCGCGCCCGCCCCTCCATCCGGTCATCCCTGAGATCTATCGGTTGTTCACGGAAGAGGACCTCTACCAGTGCCTCAAGGCGCTTCAAACCGGGAAGGCTCCGGGACCGGATGAAATTCCTGCAGAGCTCATCAAAAGGGCTCCTTATATAGTCCGTGTTTTCCTTTTGTCTCATTACAATAAATGCCTCACCTCTGCTTCTATCCCCGACGCGTGGCGCCTGTCAAATGTGGTCATGTTGGTTAAGGATGTGAAAAAAGACACACTGTCGCTTGACAACTACAGGCCTGTCTCACTCAGCGATTGTTTCTACAAAATATACGCCTCTTTATTACAGAAACGTCTGGCTTTCTACATTGACCCACGAATTCGGGATTCTCAGTTTGGATTTAGGCGGGGCCGCTCAGCAGCGCAACCTATACATATTCTTCGACGATTGATTGAAACTCACGAACGGCAAGTCTCGCCGTTGCATGTTCTTTTTCTGGACTGGTCCAAGGCCTTTGATTCTCTTTCTTTTGCTGCGATTGAGCAGTCTTTGGTGAGGCTTGACCCCTTTGTACGGGCTGTAATGTCCATCTACCAGTCGCCGCAGTTTCGAGTTCGTGACTCGGGCTGCATATCGCAGCAGGGCTCGCAGTCGCGTGGCGTGCGCCAGGGGTGTCCTCTCTCACCTTATCTTTTTGATGTTGTGCTCACGTGCTTGTTCCACGATGTCGAGTGTTCTTACGAGCGCCAGTTTGGGGTACTTACAGGTGTTCTTAATATCCCTTCGCGCCTTTGGGACCTCGAGTATGCCGATGATACAGTTCTGCTCTCACGTTCATCTCTTCAACTCACGCGGCTTCTGCATCTTTTACAGCATCATGCTTTGCAGTTTGGTCTGCAGCTCAATCTCGATAAATGCAAGCACTTGCAGCTTCACTCGGAAAACCGCGTTTCTTATGCCCCCGATCCGGGCGCCGATTGTAGCTGCAGTTGTTGCAACGGCGGGCGCCGTGCAGCGACAGAGTACGTTCCGCTAGCGGAGGAGGTGAAATATTTAGGCATATTTCTTGATGCTACCTGCAACAGTAGGAGTACCACCAGTAAAAGGATTTCCAGGGCAGTACACGCTTCCAAGCTGCTAAAGCCTTTCTTCACGCATGCTGGCCTCCCGACAAAATGGAAGCTCACCGTGTACAAGTCTATCATTCTGTCAATTTTGGCATATGGCATGGAATCATGTTGTCCTGCACCCTCTCAGCAAGGCAGAGTTGACTCTCTTCACTTTAAAAATTTGCGTAGGATTTTTCGTGTGAAGTCTTCTTATTATCATCGGGTTTTACAACCGTCGGAGGCTCCTTGTTCCAATGAATACTTGTCGGAACGTGCAAATGCCTTCACAGTACTTCCCACTCCGTCGCAGCAGTTCTCTTTTAACAGGCTAAAGCTTCTTGGCCACATTCTCCGTCACCCTGATACATATGAGGCGACCAGTACTTTTATGCAGTCGAAAGCGTATCGCTTCATCAGCGGAGGGAACAGATCGGGTCGGCCCAGCTTGCACTGGGCGGAAGTTGCTATGACCGAAGCGTATATGCGGCTACAACATGCAGATACGGATAAGACCCCGGCAGTGGCTGAGATTCACCACCCCTACTGGAGTATCCCGTCGCAACAGTTGGTGAAACAGATGCATTCCGCGAGCAGTCTCCCCGGTATGGACAACACTAGGCTCTTCAGACGAATCAACCCAGTCGCTCAAGATAGACATCTCTGGCAACAGATTACCAAACCTACAAGACAAGTTCGCTGATGCTGCTTTGGTTGATGGGCAAACACCGCTTGCCTTGCACTTGGAAAAAAAAAAACAACCAGCAAGATGCAATCGCATGCTTGCTACATCGTACAGAGCTTTGGAGCTGCAACCTTCCGTGCAGTGGAGTTAAAAAATCGGAGCCTGCATGTTTTGCAGATAGCACACAGGCAGGCCCTCCTGTCGAGGAGGGCCCTCCTTACTTCGTTCGTTCTATGCAGCATTCCGTGCGAATCCTGCCAGCCATTTTGGCT